GGTATGTATATATAAATAGCTAACAGCTACATGAATAGTTGAAACAGCACAAAAAAACGTCAAAATAGATTGTTTGCAAAATAGCTAAAAATAATTCACAATTTGCTTGACATTTGCACAATGAAGCCATCATAAAGTAACAATTGTTAAGCCAGATTCTAACCTCTTCAAATATTGGTTTGTTGTTGTTAACATCATCGACTCCAACGATGACCCGGGCGGTGGAGGTGAGAGGGTGAGACCCTCCTGATGCGTTGTCATCTGTGGCTGTTACGTTCAGGACGTACTCCAAGCCTTGAAGCTTGGGCAGAGTAGTGGAGCGGAGACGGATCAACCCTACAAAGAGCTCGAAGCCATTAATATACACATTACAACGCAGCGTGCACTCTGATAAAGCATGCACGGCCATTCCATTAGTCATTAAATAGGATGTTATTGCCACAGTGGCCTTGCATTGAGGAATCAGCTGTCAATAAAACAGCAGCAAATGCAGAGTGTACGTTTTTGTTGATGTGAGTGAGAGAGTGAGTGATGAAAATTTACCTCCACAGAAGAGCACAAAAAGATAACCTGATATGCAGGCCACATAAAAAAAAAAACCAATTTCACAGCTATGACTTCATCACATTTCTGATCTAATAACTACGTGCTTTCCCCCCAAAATACCCATGCAGCTCAAGCACTTAAGTGGAAAAACACGAAGTAAAGAAGGCACGCTGGGTAAAAGTTCACCTAGCTCAGCAGATGCCTATTAGCTGTTCCTCCTGGCCCCTTTGTCTGCTTTCATGTACCAGTCAAGATAAAAGGTTGGATAAAAAGACGGTGCGTCTGAGTCAACATCTTTCTTGTCAAAAGGAACACAAAAACATCAGAGGTTGCAGGACGAGGCAGCAGCCTGTGATGTGAAGGAGAGCCATTGAAGTGAGAGCAGGGGATGTCTTTTGTTTTTTGTTTTCTCTAATTTTCCTGTTGGGTTTTCTATTCATCTTTTTTTTTCAATGCACTTGATTAAAGACAATACAGCATTCTGATCCACGCAGATGCAAGGGTCTGATTTTACCCTCTCCAGTGAGACTTGTAATTCCAACTGCTCGCCGAGCAGTGAAGGACCTGAGAGCACTAATGACAACACACAGCACTGGCATTGCTGAAGCGCTAGCATAATGCTGTTCGCAGTAATTCCCTCATCCTAAATGTCAACCTTGTTTACAAATGTGACATCAGCTATAAAAAAAAATGTATATACTGTATACAATCTGAACTTTCAGGAAAAAAAGTACAGAAGGACACATAATAGGATGGCATAGAAGAAAGAGGAGCTGGCAAAGCACAGCCCAAAGATTCTGAGCTATGATAGAGCAGTTGTTGTGAAATTGAATTGAAAGGGTTGGGTGACAAATGTCACAGTGATTGCCACTGGTTTCGGATCAAAGGGTAAATAAAAAAGATAAACTGTGCAGTCAAAAATGTTAGAAAGCTTAGAAACATGTGGAACAGTCTGTTCTACACTTGCTGAAAAAATAAAAAATAAAAAAACAAGTGTGGACATCTTCTAAATGTGGCCATCRATCTTATTTATAACCTCAATAATAAAAAGAGCAGCTATTCAAGCAGCTCTCATAGAAATTACAGCTTTTAATATCAACCTTCAATTTCTCACACGGACTTAGAAAACAGACGGCATTTAACTCTCCCTACTAAAGCAAGAGTACATTAGATTAAATTTAGTATGTGGTCTGACGGAAAGGCTGCCAATTAGTGTGAGGGGTGCAAATATGGTGTCAGGCTGGAAAAGTAGGAAATATCACCTTTCTGGCTGTCAATGACAAAGTTTCCTTCTTCGTTGCCGGCTGTTATGGAGTAAATTATACCGTCACCATCTGGGTCCTTGGCCAGGACTGTGGCAACAAGAGTGTTGGGGCCCGCGTCCTCCGAAACAAATGTTCGATATCTGAAAGGAGAGTTCATATTTAAATTAGTGCGATAACGAGGTGTCTTATGTTCAGATGAATTCATTTTAATATTCCTGGAAGCTTTTTGCATCTACAAACAGTCCTCAGAATGTCCTGATGCAKCTCAGTAATCCAGGYAGAAAAAGTCAAAAAGAAAAAAATAMGTAGGTCCTCTGGATGGGTTCTTCTTTAGTGAAACGTTATAAGCACTGCCTCAACATGGACAAACAGGATAGTCACATGCAAAAAGAGGGCCATCGCCTAACTATAGGCTTGATTAGTTCTATTGTTGTGCCCCATCATCTGGCCCGTGTCGTGTTATGTGTATGTAGTGAATGCAAGCTGGGGTTCAAAGTCCCCTTGTTTTTGTCCCTCTTTCCTTTAAAAGAAAGAAAAGAGGAAAGAGGGACAAAAACAAGGGGACTTTGAACCCCCACTTGCATTCACTACATACACATAACATGACACAGGTCAGATTAGATACGGGGTAGAGCTATTGTTAGGCGATGGCCCTCTTTTGCATGTGACTAACCTGTTTGTCCATGTGGAGGCAATGGTAAATGGTAAATGGTACTGAACTTATAGAGCGCTTTTCAAGTCCCTCCGGACCCCCAAAGCGC